TCAAAGTCTATCTAATGAATTCAAAAACCAATAAATTTCCTGAACTGCGCATTCTATTCCAACTAAAATTAATTAACTGACATACAAAAATTTTTTAAAGTCTAGTATTTATTATTCGAGAAAAAATTACATTTTTAAATTGTTATTTATTACAAGAATAAATAAAAATGACAGAAGTCCTAGAATTGAATATTTAAATGGGACGTTGAGCTTTAGTACGATGTGAACAATTTTTTTTATTTTTTGTGCTATTTTATCTATCTATAATTCTGAATGAATTATTATACAAAATTAGAAACGATTGAATATATATTTCAATGTAAAAATACATTATTATTGTGTAAAATATTACAAGTATGTGTTATTCATATCGTTTGATTGTATTATCGATGTGAACCTGGTGTTCAATTTTTTAGAAAATAAAAATTCTTAATGTAATTCGATTGTGCTTTTTTTATACCCGTTTGTACTGCTTGTTATCTTGTTTATACCTCAGAGGATAAAAAATTACTAGAAGATTAGAAAATGGCCAGCGCGCAATTATAATAATTTTTTGTAGTTGTGATTTGTGTGATCCTTACAAACTTCTTCGCAACAATAAATATCTATAAAAACATAAAGATGACTCTCTAAAATCACCAAGAGATATGCAAATAATTTTTATTTGTATAGCATTAATGGCCAATATAAGGGTGCACTTCCGTTTCACGCATGATGTGCATAATGCATCATTTATCTTTGTTTAATATTCGGTTAACAACAAGGATAAATGATGCATCATGCGCATCATGCGTGAAACGGAATGCACCCTGTAACAAGTCTTCTCAAATGGCGATAAAGTGGATAAATCGAAATCCAAGCAACATGCCTTTCGCACAGTATATATATATATATATATATATATATATATATATATATCGATGATATATATCGCTAGGTAAACTCAATATGAAATCCCAGGCTCTCCGAGTTTTCTTCGTTCTGCAAAGGAGGCGGTGGATTGTGCACACGTTGTATGACGTTTTATAGAAGGCCGAAGCAGCTGTTCCGGTTAGTTTAATATCGATAGCAGTACGTTTCCAAGCGACGACGAGCGTAATACGTTTCATTTTTACACGATATAAATACGGTACGTCTATACATCGCGTGTATACGAACGACGACATGCATCCGGCGTGCAGCTATGAATTTCTCATCGAGTCTCGATGCGTACGCTCCGCGGAAATTACCGGTACCGGTAATAGCGGGGCGAATCCGAGCGTGGAATACCGGATTTCAAAGAGCGCCGCAGGTATCCGAGCGACGCGAATATCGCACACACGTGTACATTCGTCCGAATACCGCGGAGACGTTAGGAATCGCAAAGATGTAAACCCGCGCGTCTTTTAGGAGCGAGACACGTGAGTCGCGACCGTAACGCATATCTTGTCGGTTATATCCGGATTTATTCGGTATTCCGGTATCAACCGACGAGAAAATAACGATGTTTCCATAAATAATTTCTTTTCGCATGACGGAAAGACGCTATAATTTTTCCGACATTCTTTATGCAAACTTTTAAGACCCTTATATTTGCATCTAGTAAGAGATAATGTTATTTGCGTCCTTAAACAAGTAAAATAATTAGAAGACCGTCACGTTTAATGTTAGATGAATATCTTATAAATATATTGCTAACCTTATGATTTTTACTTAAATTTTCTCAGAGCTGCCGCGTAAATTTTCTTCATTTTTTCATTACTTTATATTTAACTTAAACTCCTTTTAATTCACGTAACGTCACGTAATTATATGCAGAAACATGATTAAATGTAATATAAAATTAAATATTTAATGATTGCTAGAATGAACTTTTTTCGCTTTGTTCTAACACAAGTAAAACACGCAAACAAATTCAATTAAAATAGGCAACAATCTGGTTGCTCGTGAAAGTACATACATCGTGAAAGTTATAAAATAACTTAGAACAAATAAATAATAATGAAGAGACGAGAGGTTTTTCAATCTTGCATCTTACTTAAATGTAGGATAATTTTGTCACTTTCCTCTTTTTCGTATAGAAAATTCCTGTTATACAGAACGCTTCCGGACGTTAAATAAAATCAGACATACCGGTGATAGAAACTGTCGGTTTCCTTCCAAATTGTGTTACACAATTCAGACTAATAACGATGCTTCCAACAGCACAAAAATTTAATTATCGTTTCCATCCCAGCGCGCATTAAAGCTAAGAGAAAATTATATTTTATGCAATTTTCGTGTTCGCGGGATTGTCCGCGGATGCACAAGGAATTCTTATCACCTAGGAACGGCATACTAATGGAGAATTTCTTCGTTCCAGTGTCAAGTTATCGGTTTATTCATTCGCGACGTAATGCATATAACCGGAGGTGTCGTGCTTTATTTTACACAGTGACGCATGAGGCCATTTGCAAATTAAGCTGCGGCAACGAGGAGAATACGCTTCGATGTTTTTTTAATGAAGTCGGCCCATACTCGAGCAGCTGTGTGTATACTGCCAGCTGTACAGTAAAATTAAAGTTCTCGAATAGCGGATTGTTTTAATTAGTATTGCACGCGGCGAAAATAGCAGCAGCGCTGTGACAATGAATATTAATGACACATTTAAAGGATGCCATAAGCGATTATGTTAACATGCATAGATTTTAATAGAATAGGACGTGGTGACCATGATCCAGTAGCGAGAATACAGAGCACAAACTTAAACGTGTTTAAATAATATCGTTTCTGACGATTTTTTTTCCACGCGTATATAATAGTTATACATATCTACATATCTAAATCTCAAGAAAAGAACACATATGTACACTGTTTACAAAAAGATAATGATCCAGAAGGAAGAGACTAATTTTTTATCCGTAGGTATTTAATCAATTAAATGTAGATATTTAATCAAATAAAATTTTTGAAACATAATTTTTATTGACAATTTTTATTAATATAATTTTATAGGTATAAAATTGTAATTAACAACAAAAAATTTTACGATCTCAACAAGGCTACATTTACTTTTAAAAGAGTACGGTTGGTGACCCTACGCATGTATAGTCTAAACTAATGTATTAGAACAGTAGAGCTTCAAGTATATATATATACTTGAAGCCCTGTGTATATATATATATATACAGGGCTGTTTTCAACCGGGGTGCAAAGGGCGCAGTGCACTCGGGCGGCCGCTCCGCAGGAGCGGTCGGCGGCCGTTAACATTTCATCGTAAAACCGATTTACATGTTTATTATAGTGTGAAAAAAACTGCAAACAAAACTTTCAAACAAAGCTGGAACGGAAAGCGATATCGATGGTACCGAGTTATACGATGAAGTTTGTATACTCTTGCAAGGAATGCTAACAGGAATGCCGATATGAATTCAAGTGCAATGTTGAACTATTTATTAAAAAATAATTTGCAACAGGTGCTTTCGAATTTTTATATAAGTTTACGAATATTATTAACTTTGCTAGTCACCGTAGCTTCAGGTGAAAGATTATTTTCAAAACTTAAATTGATAAAAAATTATTTGCGTTCGACTTAGGAAAGATTAACAAATTTAGCAATTGTTTCAATCGAGTATGAAATCGGGAATAAATTGGAAACGTCGAAACTTATTAAACAATTTTCTGAAATAAAAGCGAGACGAATGTTTCGTTTAAAATTTTACAATACAGTTTCATATTAACTTTATTTCAATTATTAAAGAATAAATTTTGTTATTTTAATTACGATCTTTCACCTGAAGCTACGGTGACTGGCAAATTATAATGTTTTAACAACATTCATAATATTCTTACATAAAGATTCGGAAATACTTGTTAAAAATTAATGCAATGTTTATTTTATTAGTGCAATGATTTTATTTTATTGTATTTAGAATATAATATATATAATTCAGATTTTCTTAACTATTCTTGTGTTCAATGTTTTATGCAACTGTGATCGATAGAAAAGGGCGAATGTGGGACGCTCTGCACCGGGTGCAACAAGCCTTTGAAACGGCCTT